CCCTGCTGCTTTTGGATTGTGCGCATGCTGTCGGGTCGCGCGGCGCCCGCCGTTGCGGCGCGGCGGCCACTGCGAGCGGGCAAGCTGGCGGTGGCAGGGCGGCCTGGCACGGCCTAGGCGGCGGCATGGGGTTTTGCGGGGCGGGCAGGTGCCCGTTGGGTGGTGTAACCTACTTCATGAGTCATCAATTGGTGTTGCAAAACCCACTTTGTTCCTGGCAGCAGCAAGAGTAGCGGCTGCTGGTACAGCTAGCGGGGCCAGTGCTACAATCACTGCGCAGCAGCGTGTGGTGCGCTGCCTTGAGCATGGGGTCGTCGTGCGGCAGCAGCTGCTGACGCGCTTCCCCGTAAGCTAGGCTGCTCAACTGCACATTGACCCTGTTATCCTGCTTGATGCTGCACCCAGTCAGCGCCATATCAGCTTCTGGCAATTCCTGCCTTAAGCAAAAAGCAGCCGTGATTACCCCAAGGGTTGGGTGCTCGGTCGTCTTCGCTCGTGAACGCATGGCCGCCTGCAAACATGCTGGCGCCAAAGCGTCGTGCAGCTGCCAACGCACAGAAGGAAGGTGTTCGAAGCTGCTTTGCAGCAGCTCAAGGTTTCGTGCCCGTGGCGGCAGCTGGGGTGGGCACAGGGCAAGGCAAGAAAAACGGCTGCTAAGCTCGGAAACCCGCAGCTGTGCAGGTCAATCAATCCAAAGACGCTGCAAGGCAAGACAAAGGCCCGGCTGCCACACATGCACCAAGGTAAGCGGCCAGAGGCATGCCAGTCGAGAGTCCACAACTGTGGGCAAGGGGTACCCAGGGCCGCAGCCCGCTGTGAGAATCGGTTGAGCTGCAGGTGGGGTGAGCCACAGCGCTGCTGTGTGGGCAAGCACACCGTGGCAGCCACCAACAACAAAGAAGGCGACTGCGCGTCGCCCGCTGCTACACAGCAGCAAAAGCGGGAGCGGCTGAGGAGTGGCCAGCAGTCCGGCCGCGGCGTGCTGCATCTCGCGTTACTGCGTGGTGTAGTCCGCCTGGTCGTTGTCCAGCAGGCTGCCAGGCAGACGAGCCAGCACAAGGGCAAAAAAAGACATGTCAGGCTCGTATGCTTGGCCTCGACGCGGTAGTGGGCGCTGGTGGGCGCAGGCTCTGGTCAGCACAGCACGACGACTTCCATACACAGCTCAGAGCCGCAAGGGATACGCGCCCCCCATCCCCACCTCCTAGAGTGCTTCACAATGGCGCGGCCCACGGCATTGATCCAGTCCTCCTTCTCCTGCATTTGCCAAAACGATGTTTTGGGGATGGGAGCCCAGGCATTGAGAGGAGACCGTGAAGGCGGCAGTCGTAGAACAGACTGCGAATCTGGGCAACTTCATCACATCACCAAGAAGATGCGAAGCCATTCCGCATGGTAACATGCCACACCAAAACTCACACTCACACACACACACACACACACACACACACACACACACACTCTCACCCCGCACACATCACATGTCTGTGCTTTGCTGTACTTCACCCTACCTCCCCTCTGCTGCCCACAGCGCACCTTGTCAGAGTCCGCGATGAAGAACATGTTGTCGTCGGTGGTTGATATCTCAAACGCGTGCGGCTTGTTGATGGTGTCCTCCGCGCCCTTGATGGACAGGCACTTCTTGACCTGAGTGGTTTCACCCGGGATTTGACCAGGGGGAGTGATTCCGGCGCCACTCAGGGCTCGAGAGGCGGAAAATCACCGTGCAGCCTGGAGAGAACAAGGTGCCACGGTTTGCGGACAGCCGCGTTCCCATCTGCGACAGCTGCTAGAAGCGGGGCATTCGTTATTTGAAATCCAGCGATCGCACTTGCCTCGATTACGCCGCGCGGCACCGAGTCCTGCGGTGCATGCACGGGGATGGCGTGGATGCAGGTGCGGGATGTATACTTGCGACGCACTGCTTTGAACAAGGACTCATCATATGCCACGGCCGCGTTGAATCACTCGGCCTGAAAGGGACCACATGCGGGTACAGTATTCGCACCGGTGTGACCACATCGGACTTGAACCAGAAGATTTTGCCCTGCTTGAGAACAAACCACCTGTGGCGCGGGTCAGGCGCAGCATTCCATGCGCTCACAAACGCAGGAGCCTTGGGGTGTCCTTGCTGGCAAGCTCTAGCTGCCTGGGTACAAGGCACATGTGGCGTGCCAGGTAGCATGGCCAGTACAGCTTCCTACCTCCTTCTCCAGGTCTTGATGTACTCGCCTGCATGGACGACAAGGAGGACCGCAGGCATCAGCAGACAACAGCTCCGGCACAGCACATCACGACAAGCGCTCCGCAAATGAGGGTATCGGCGGCAGCACGCAACACGCCGTGAGAGCTACCAGGCGCGCAAGCTCTCATTTTCTGGTAAACCAGAACACACACCCTGCTTCATCAGCCATCCGGAGCGGTCTGGGTTGTGCCAAAACTCGACGTCTGTGTCCACCTTGCGCGCTCCAAAGAGCGCAGCCATGATGACTTATACGAATTTCTGGAGATTCCACGGGATGACCCACAAGCTACGCGTTGCTCAGATCGTTGCACTCGCACTCAGCTCAGCCTTTGCCAACGGCCACCAGACGAACGCGTAACAATAACAAGCGATTAAGTCGTTGCGCAACCTGTGCTGTGCGGCTCAACAAAGGTATCATACTGTCCTAGTGCCGAGGAGGCGCGCCCGAAGACCTGGAGAGCCACCCCCCTGGTGCCGATCCACTTGGCCGTCGTCGCAGGGCAGTGCCCGTGCGCCTGTAATTACCGGAGCGGCCACCGTCAGGAAAAGATGTGGATATACCTATGTGGCCATTCAACATGGGGTTGAAGTGCAGCAGCTCATGCTGAGCTGAGCTGGGTCCCACCGACTGTCCCTGTTGCCCCAGGTTACCAGTTGATATGATAATGACCTCGACCTAAAACCCACCAAGCAACATCCACTCAGCAACTTGGATGGAACACAGACTAAGCAAGGGTTCAGCGGAGCAGAACCCACAGTACGTACAGGAACGCACAAGCTTGCACAGGAAAGGTACAAATGCTGGCACTTGTCTTTTGCGAATTAGGGCACCACACCGGTGTTTGATGACCCCATGACATCAAAGCTCCTTCACCACGAATCTAAGCACCGCACCATCGCCACACACCGAAGGGCGGCTGAAGGGCGGCTGAATTGCCGTCAACGCTTAGTCGTAGCAGCCACCTCCGCCCAGGCCTGTCTCGTTGTTTGCGGGATTTGCTAGATTTGCAGCAGTTGAATCAACTTCAAGAATAAACTGTCTTCTGACAGTCTTGCAAACCCACCTGCTGCGCAGGTGGTCGTGCCGGCGATGCGCCGAGCCTGCGGGGTTACTATCCCTGACACGTGCCACAGTCACGGTTCGGTCCAAAGTAGCGATTAATTGCTACATGACGTGTTCATATGTGTCATGGGGCTGCACTGTACTCGTGCCTGGCGCCCTCCCGCATTGCAACCGCTGCGAAGGACTGGCGCAACGCACGGACGAGCAAGCCCGCTTCGATCATTGAACGAAATCAAAAATCCTTTGTAATACTCGGTGTGTTGCGAACCAAGGTGCGCAGCGGGCGTCCGCGCCACCCCCGTTAGAGAGACGCCAGTATCGTGGTTCAGTGTCACAAAACATATTCAGATATTGAAGTGGGTGTGGCGGTCACTCGTCACGATCTCTGCCATGCGGATGCGTCGACGACGGTGTCACGCTGCCCACGGCCGCAAAATGCGCTGGTGATGGTGTACAATGTCATGAAACATTATTCGAAACTCCCTCTTTGCGGTGCTCTTGGCTGCGCAGGCGCGCACAGGGCTCCCGACCCCTACGCCCTTTGTCACAGAGCCCGGCGGCGCAGGCGCTTGGCGCTATGAAGGCTGGCCGCGTGGTCCTGTGCCTCTGCCTCATAGCCCTGGGCTATGTGTCTGCAAATGACTTTCAGCAGTGTGGTGAGTGTGCTGGTGTGATCGCCGAGGCCGCAGCACAGGCCCGATGCTGTGGGTGTCGGCAGTGCTTGCCAGCCGCTGCCACGCACGGCTTGCCCCATGGCATTGAGCAGCACGCCTGACACTGTTACAATTGGGGCACGCAATGCACCCCAACCAAGCAACCATGCTGCCTGCTGTCACAGGTGGCACGACAAATTGCAACGGACGCGCCGCCGGCTGCGTCGATGCGGCCTGGCCGGAGGTGCTTTGCGCGTCTGGATACGTCTGCGGCCGACAGAACCAGTATTTCTGGCAGTGCACCAATGACCCAGCAGTGATTGCAGCCGCCAAGGCGTCCCCAGCCGGTGCAGCGGCACCAGCTGCTGCCAATACTGGGAGTGCGCCCCATGTGGAGCCTGCAGCTGCCCCCACGGCCGGCTTCTACCTCGATTTCGAGTCGGCCCAAGCATCCCCTGACCCCGCCTTTGCTAGCAGCATTGCAGCCGCCGACGCCGCCGTAGCCTCCACCAGCCCCACGTCCAGCCCCGCCGCCGCATCCGCCAGCAATGCAACCGCCGCGTCCCCGTCCGCGGCGCCCGCCGGCGCGGCCACCTCCGGGCCCGCGCCCGCGCCCTATGCGGGGCTGCGCCAGCTGGGGCCCCGCAAGGCGGACGCCCCCGAGGTTCAAACGTGCGCGTGCGTGGACGTGGGCCTGAACGACCCGGCCTGCTTCAAGGGGATCACCAAGTACTGCGAGATGACAGACCCCAAGGCGAACATGACCGTGTGCGAGGCGATGAGCGGCTTCTTCAACATGCAGAACCTGACGGCGGCCAAGGTCACCACGGAGTTCTTCGTGCGGACCTGCAGGCTGGCGGTGCCAGCCAACCCGGCGCCGTGCGCGTGCCTTGAGGTACGGCGCCAGGGGGCGGGGGGCGGGGGGGGGGCGGCCGGCCGGCGGCAGCGTTGGGGAGCTGCGAGCAGCTGCTGGGGTAGGAGCAGAGGCGGTGCGTGCTACGAGGGGCGGATGCCGTGTTCCCCGCATGTCTGTGGCAGCAGATGCCATTGATGGCATTCTAATCGGCTCGGCAGCCTACGACTCTCTTGTTGATAGACGGTGATGACCCTGTGACAATGTGGGGCCATCTCCTGCCTCGCCTCGCCCCACTTCAACCCCTTCGCAGGGCCCCAACACAGAAGGCTGCAAGGCTGCCACCCTTCAAGCCTGCTCCCACGCCAGCACGATCTGCCCCGCGCTAGCGTTTGGCTCGGAGGCCAACCCGACTGCACAGGATGCATATGGAAAGTACATGGACGCCAACTGTGGCGGGTCAATGTCTGCCGCCGACGTCGCCATGAACTTCACGGACATTACCCTTGCTGACTTCGAGTCAAAGTATGCCAAGGGCACGATCGCAGCTCTCGGCGCAATCACGGGCCTCAAGGCGGGCGCGATCACGGCGGCGTCGCCTGTCGAAATCAAGACTGGCAGCCAGAGGGGCTCTCTTTCTGTTGGCGGCGAGCGCAAGCTGCTGCAATCCAATATCAAGGTCATCACCAAGGTAAGAGACTCGAGATCTTGTGGTCCTGATGCTTTGGGTTGGTTGAAGAGCCGGCGTCAGAAGGGCGTGTGAATGCGTCACAAATGGTGAGGTGTCGTGTGCAGCTCTGTGGTGCGCAACAAACGGCAAGATGGCTCAGTTGGCGAAGCAGGCCCTGACAACATGTAATGGTCTGATCGGATTTTGCCTCAGCGCCCTCAACCCCCCACGCAACTCACATGAGAATCCGTCGCACCTTGGTCCGCCTACCTCAATCGCCGTCGTCTCGGCTGCGCCCCATCACATGCAGGTGCTCACCAGCTACCAGGTGCGCAGCTCCCCCAAGGACGCCCCACTGGTCCTGCAGCGCCTGCAGGACGCGGGGGAGGACAACGCCGCCGGCTTGTATAAGGCCCTCGCCGCCGCCGGCGTGCCCCTGCGCCCGTCGTTCCGCGTCGCGCACGGCGCGGTGGTCAACGGCGTCAAGGTGCGCGTGGGCAGCTACACGGCCAGCACAGAGGGCGGCCTTGACGCGGGCGCGGTCGCAGGCATCGCGGTCGGCTGCGCCGCGCTCGCCGCACTGCTGGCGGTCGGGGTGACGCTTGTTATTCTGAAGCGGCGTCAGGTGGCCAGGGGCAAGCGCCTTGGGCAGCAGCAGCAGCAGCAGCAGCAGCAGCACCAGCAGGATCAGCAAGGCGGCGGCGGCGCAAGCAGCATCAAGGATGCGAGCGTTGAGTCTGGAAAGGCTGGCGGCACTCCCACCAAGGTGGTTGGCGTTTCGGCTGCAGCCGGGCCAACCGCGGTGGGTGAGAGCGCGCGTGCCGCTGCGGCAGAGGCGGAGGCGTCGGCCAAGAAGGCCGCGGCAGACACTGCGGCCGCCTCAGCTAAGCTGGCCGCAATTCAGGCCAAAGCTGCCGCCAAACAGGCCGCCGCCGACGCTGAGGCGGCCGCAGCAAAAAAGGCGGCTGCAGACGCTGAGGCCGCCGCCGTCGCAGCGCTCGCGAAGCGCGCAGCCGCGGAGGCCGAGGCGGCGGCGGCGCAGGCGGCGGTGCATGCGGCTGCGAGGGTCGCTGCGCAGGCGCGGGCCGTGGCGGAGGCAAGTGAGGCGAGGTCTGCTGATGAGTACGAGGAGGACTGCCCTGTGCCGGCGCCGGCCCCTGCAGAGGTCAAGCCGAAGCGCAAGCAGATGTTCTCGCTGACCGCCTCTGGCTGGCGAACCAATGCTTGACTAGGGGTGTTGGCCGCAGAAGAGAGGGTTGGAGCGGTGAATGTGCGTCATTGTCTGGGGGCGGGGCGCAAAACTGCGATTGGAGCCAGGCGGCTGGTATGGGGCTGGCCGATTTTGTTCTGCGCTTTCCAGGTTGATGAGGCACTGCCGTTGAGGCCACAAGGGCACTGTCGGATCGGGGGGCCGCGTGATGTTGGGCTGTGCGCGTGCATGTTGTCACGATGACATCAGCAAGGCCGGCAGCCCCATACCCCCTGAACTTTTACAGACCTCTGCATCCCCGCTCCTTGCACAGCCTTGCATTTGTAGCAGTGATGTCCACCCCCTCACTGTGTTCTTGCTCGCATATTTGTACATGAGCGGGGCGTCTGCTCCCCGGGAACTCTGCATACAGAGACAAACATGTATTGGTATTACAAACCCATTGACCCTTCAGCCCTTGCATTTGCGCACAGGGATCACGCATCCGTCGCACCCACCTCCTGCAGTTGCTCCGAGTGCGAATACCCCCTCCTTGGCGCCAAAAATTGATAGCGTCAAGCAATGGTGTATGGGAATAAAAAATCATGTGCTGAGCCGTGTGTGTTATACCCTTGATACGATTTCAGCACTAGTCTGCGCAAGCACGGATCGACTCCAATGCAACGCAACCCGTGGTCAACAAATGGTCAAAACCAGCAAGCACCCCTCTTGCCGTACAAGATCGCAATCCTCCATCGTCGACAAATACAAAAACGGTACGTGATGCCATAAGATAAATGGGGGCAAGCATCTTGGGTATGCCTGCCAGCAACAGTGGCAGCTTTCAAACATGGCTGGGCTCATGCCGCCTTTACTTGCTGTGCTTTCCGTTGCCGTTGCGTTTTCTCTGCTGGTCTGAACCACCCGCCATGTGCGCACATGCGTGCCATGCGTGCAGCTCTTACCAAACGGCTCGGTACCTCAGACATGTCCGAACATAAAGTCTCTTGACGCACGGCGCAACTCCCGCGGTTCGAAGATCTGTGGTGTATGCTATCCACGATATTCAGCGCGTTTCAGCTTGTTGAAAAATACAATCGTTGTTGCTGGAGAGGCTGCATTTCCGTCACTAGCAGTGGCTGGGTGGTGCTCACGGTGCCACGCGCCGCAGCGCCGCCCCCTGATGATGCGCGCGGCACCGCTGCTGCGGCTGCTGGCCGCCTGCTTAACAGCCGCTGCGGCTGTTGGAGGCGATTCCTCACCGATCAGGGGCATGCCGCCGGAGATGGCGGCGATGTACGTCCCGGATGCGGACGGCCTGTTCCGGTGCATCATTGGCGCGACGCGCATCAGCTTCAGCCGTTTGAACGATGACTACTGCGACTGCCCCGACGGCTCCGACGAGCCGGGTGAGCGCGGCACCCGCTGAGCAGCCAGGGACTGGGCCGATGTATGAACGCGCGCCGCTTGACGTGCAGCTGCCTTGTTTGTTGGCCGGCGTTGGCCCCGGCGCATTTGCGACGCACCCGCCCCAACCTACTGGTGTGGCGCCGTCAGGCACGTCTGCATGCAGCAACGGCAGGTTCTACTGCACCAACAAGGGCAGCAAGTCGCGCCTGCTGCCCTCGCCCTTTGTGGACGACGGCGTGTGCGGTGGGTTTGGTGGGGCCCGCAGGGGCACTCGGACCCATGCTCAGGCGGCTGCGTGTTGCCGCAACGCCCCAGGCTCTGCAGGGCAGGCCATGGCTACTCGCTCAAACCAGACGCCTGGCTTTGAACCACCTTGCGTTTTCCTACCACATAGCACAGCCAGAATCTCGACCGCGTCCATACAGGGGGCACCGCACCATGCTTCCATTCTGTGCACAGACTGTTGCGATGGGTCCGACGAGCACAACGGCTGCAGGAACACCTGCCGCGAGGAAGCCGCGGCGGCCGCCGCTGCAGCCAGCAGGCGCGCCGCCCAGGGGCAGACGCCGGCGCAGCAGCAAGCGCCGGGCGCGGGTGCGGTGGCGGCGGCCCATTGGGAGCATTTCCCGCGGAATGAAGAGGGCGGCGGCGGCAGCGGCGTCGGCAGCGGCGTCGGCAGCGGCGGCGGC